CCCAATCTAGAAAATAGCCTTCTTTTGAACTTTTAAACTAGGAGCCAGCGGGGGCTTTTCTTGGGTAGCCAGGGAAGGGTTTGCAGGTTCCATAAGGACCATTGTCCCCAGGCCGTGCGATGAAGGGAAAGGTGGTATCTCTTGAGGACAGGTGTTGTCCGAAAGAGCTTGGCCAGAGGTCTCATCCTGCCTGTTTCTGATGGTAAGAAATTTTATGTCATGTATACAGTTATTGTGAAACCCAAGCCCCAGTCATGAGAAACCCTTAACTTATTTTTAGCAGTTCAGAAGAACACTGATAAGCATCTTACTAACTTATGCGTTCTGACTGTGTCTTAGCATCTATGAAAAACCAGATGAAAGGAAAGTGTCACATCTCAAGACACTGTGATGCTGTAGTGTAGGTGTCCAAATGCCGATGTGCCCAGACAACTATGCAACCAGGTATGGAACTTTTGGCCTATAAAATTGTGATTATGAAGAGGAAACATATGGAAGACTGTCCTCTGAAATTCTGGGGGAGAACTGGTGTGCTTCATCTGGATTTCAGAACTGATGCCATTAAAAAAAAACAATGAAACAAGCACAGGTTGCAGCTTTCTTCTCCTAGCAGTTAATATTGCAGAACTTGGGAATGCTTTGTACTTCCAAATACCAAGCTACTGCTTCAGTTCTTATTGTGGATTTAAAGGTCTTACTTTGGGCATACAAGTTTGGAGACGTGTGGAGATACTAAAGCAATGGGAATACATCCTTCTGTGAGAAGGAAAAAGAAACTAGGGTTAGGGCAGTCATTTAGTCTTACTGGTGTAGTTTTGCAGAAAAGATACGTCATCTTCAGGACCTAGCTGAAAATGTAAGTGGTTGTATAATTTGAGTATTAAAGCTTCTAGTACTTATTCTGTTCATTCCTTTGGTAGTTGTGTTTTAATACTTCTAACATAAAAAAACCCCAACCATAATGAAATAATGGAAATTAGAAATGAAGAGGATAAGAGATTGAACCAGTGCCCATTACTTCATCTTCTTTTCATAGAAGGTTTCCTACCCTGATAAAATATTGATGTAAGTGAGCACAGCTTTTTAGCTTTTGTACGCTGCTGTGAATTTGTGAGGTGAGTGTAGTTTCTACCCAAGGATGCAGTACTTGTTGGAGGCTTAGATATGAGAAACTGGGTCAGGTTTCACAAAGTAATTCACAATATAATCTTGTTAACCTGCAGTTATTGTATCTGAATGCCTTATAGTTGGCACCAAAAAAAAAGGTGGTCTCTTCCAACATCTTGGCAGGTTCGTTAGATTAGCTTATTATTCAGACTGAACATCATTTTTATAAAATATGCTATTACATATTTACTGATTCGTTTGTTAATATGCCACAAAGTACTGTGTGAATCATTACAACTAATCTTATTTGCCAAAATAAATTAATGAGGTATATCTGTTAAAGCTATATTTGTTATGTTTTTATATTCTGTCTATTTGCTTTCTTAGGGAATTGCTTTGTTTAATAAATCTGCAGGCTCTTTTCTTGTCATTAATTCAAAATAGATGTGGAAGGAAATTTTTTCAGATGTAGTCCATTTTGCTTCAAAATTACTTTTTTTAAATGGCCTTCAGTATAGCAAAGGGACGTTATTTTATGTCCTTTAGAAGGGTATGTTAGGTGTTTTTCCATGAGTTTCGCACCAGTATTTTGTGCATTGGTGTAATGGAAACATGATGCATACTCAACCTTTGGACCAGGTGCCAGTGGTTCTTTTAGAAGTTCCAGCATCAGGTTGGCTTCACTGTAATAAAACTATTTGGTAAAACCTGTACAGACATTGGCTGGTAGAGGCAAGCTGTCCTGGCCTGTTCAGTGCTGCAGAGAGAACAGCAGACAGGGAAAAGGAGAAGAGCTCCTTCTTAACAGGATCTTGTCTTACTGAGGCAAATCAGAATAACCATGTCATTTATCTGTGTTGTTTCCTGTCACGTGCTGCTTAACAGTGTATCTATGACCAACCTTTCAATACTCTGTCCTTTCAATGCAATTTAGTCTCCTGCCCAATTTATCTGCTGCTACCAAAAGTCAGTATCATATTACTGAAGCATATCCATGCTGGAGAATTAAGATAATAAAATATGGACTGTGCTTTATGCTTGTTATAAGTTACATCCTTCTATTTAAGGAGAATAGTAATAAAAATGGAAGTAGAATTACAGTGCGTTATGTTTCAGTGATGCAGTATGTTTTTACCTTGGAGCACCAGAGGATTAGTAATTATATACCTATCACTTAAAAGGAGGAAAAAAGGATATGTCCAGCTTATAGTGGTATGTGCCGTTTCCTCAACTCTTTGTGTTCTCTTTGGAGGGAAAACCCCTGAAGTGAATCTGGCATAACAATACCAGCTCCTTACAGTATGTGGCTCAGACAGGTAAGAGTTGAATATTATGTTACTCCGTATTTGTATGGAGCGTCAACAGCCATAGCATCAACATGTTGGAGGTGCTTGTAAAGCAGTCTTGAGTACTGCAGATTTAAATTTGCACTTTGAGGTCAGAATGTGATAATTGCTTTCTACTCCGTTCTGCAATTTTGCTTAAAAAAAAATCTTACTTAAAATTCAGTTACCGCTAGAAATGTCTTTATTCTTTGTTTGTTTGGTACTGTATTACAACTTGCCAAAAGTGGTTTATGCAGCAGTCACCCTTACCGTTCAGAAAGTACAAAAGAGGAACAACAGTAGGCTTTTGTTTTGTCAACTGTTCTTTGTAAACAGAGATAATTGACTTATCTGTTATCACAGGGTGGTTCCTCTCTACCTGACAGTTGGTTTGTTGGTGGTTTTTTTTCTTCATAGCTGTGGATATTTATTAATTTCTTCTACTGATTATCTTAAACAGCTTGGTGTCTCTTTCTTAGTTGCACTGCACCTTACACAAATAGTTTGAGTGGTGAAAAGAATGATATAAGTCAGCAGCTTTCCAGACTCTTGACATTTCATAAACTAGTGTTTTATGGATGTTAATTTCTATATAGAGAGTATATATCCTATATATAGGAATTTGCGTTCCGGAGTGCATTGTTTTTCAATATTGCAAAATTATATTTTCTTGTTGCTAAAAAAGACATCTTTGCTAGCTGTTTTTTTGATGGCTGAAGGTTCATAAACTTCATGTATGCTTTCCATTGCCACAGGGTCACATTACTTTTGGGAATAGGTGTTCCAATGTGGGGGCAATAAATACTAGTATTTACTTTTTTTTATTAAGTAAAAATGTATCCAGTTTCACTATAATATTCATAATTACACTAAAGGTCAGATTTTTCTCAGGTTAAAGTTTTTCTGCTCTGCATCTCTTGGCTGTGATATTTAGTACTATTACGAGAAAATATAGATAAGTTTTTTTGTTTCATTTTGGAAATAAAATCTAAACTGAAATATGCAAAATTCTCTCAGAGAAGTTCTTATCATAAAAAATGAACCTATCTTAGCGATTTGTTACAGTCTTATTTTATTTTTCATTTCGTGTACTCTTTCCTGCAGATCTGGTGTGATAGTTGGCTAGTTTAATTACTGTCTTTCCGAAAAGATAAGTGTTTGTAGAGTCTGAAGGGTGTCATTTTCCTTTAGAGGGGACCATGAAGGGAAGAGGATGAAAGTAAAGTGTTTGCAAATTAACAGTATAGGTGTATTTGTGTGCACCCTTAAAATCTGCAGTTATTCTGACAGAATGGCAGCTGCAAAGGTGCAAAATTCGGAGGATCTGAAGATCCTTTTAGAAAACTCATCATTACTCAAACACAAACTAAGTAGACGTGTAGCCAATGGAGTGTTTAAGGAAGATAAAGTAGAACAGCAGTTGCTGCTGTTTTGGTTCTTCTGGATGCTTACAATTCTTGGGTTTTTTTCCTCAAATAGTCTTAATAGCCCACTTCCCTAGGTTAGCAGTAATTTTCTAGTTTAATGGAATTTAAAAGACAAATGCCAGTTTCTTAATGCCAAAACTTGTCACAGAAAGGATTGCTTACAGTGGATCTCCCAGTCGACAAACCAGGGAGAAGAAAGGTTAGCTGCTGCAGCATTCTTCTGGCTCAGTAAACAGCAGAGTGCCCCAACTCTTACTGGCTTTACAAACGTTAAAGCTATTCAGCACCTGTAAAATTTACTTAAGGTCTCAGGCATAAGCTTGGGAACCACTCAGCAGTGGCAGTATGTTACAGACTTGTTATCAGTATGTGGCTTAAAAATGCTAATATTGGACTTTGATCCATTGTCATCCTTGTGAAAGTGCCAGTCCTACAGGTATTCAAGTATTTGACTAGCCTCGTTTATTCATTTCACACAGAGCCAGCCTAAAGTCATCTTGTGCACCTCAAAATATTTTCCCAGTCCCTCTTGTCCAGTCTTTCTTAATGTATAGTTGATGCATTAAGGCCCAGTTTCTCAAGCATGTTCTTTAACCTTCTGGGTTTTGGTTTGCTTTTTTTTTTGGGGTGGTGGTGGTGGTGGTGGTTTTTTTTTGTTTAATTTATCAAGAAGACAATCAGCTTTCTGACTAATAGTTTTGGATCAATGTGCTGTGTTCCACTGTGCTGGTATTCTCCAAAATCTACAACCT